GTACATTAATGCGCTCTCGTGATAAAACAAAGCACTCGCCACATTTGCAGAAATGAGTTATTGCGCAATACCTCCATTTCCGCGCCGCCATTCAGAATGTATTTAGAGGAGTGACAGGTCAGAGGCGAGTCGACTCGCTGTCGGAGGGCAAAACGTGTATGAAGATCATAAAATAGGCAGGAAATATGTCCGCGGTTTAATAACTCTGCTAGACATTTCTATAGTGAAAACATCCGAGAAGCAACTAAATTAACAAAACATTTGTTTTTAAGTTGTTTTTTCTGTCTCTGCAACACAGAAAGCCTTTGTCCCACCCTTACGTTTCACGCAAAACTAGACAAGGTCGACTGTGATTGGCTACTTTTCATGTCAGTCAAATCACGCTTCAGAATCAATTCTTGAACTTCGGAAACTGATATTCAGCAGCTTATGACACAATGCACTAAAATAAACACTCTAAGCAAAGAGCTGTGATCGTACGCTTCACTAAACAGCCAATGCTGATCACATCGATGTTATAGTACGCATCAAAGGATTAAAAGTGTTAATTGTTTATTTCATTATTTGGCGATTCCTCCGCGTACCACTAGGAGGAAGCCCGCGTACCACTAGTGGTACGCGTACCACAGTTTGAGAACCACTGCATTAGACCACTCAAATAAATAGCTGTTGACCTCACTGCAAAATATATTGGTCATTTGAACGAATCATGAACAAATAAAAAACACTATACAAATTCAATTAAATCATAAGATATTTTATAAAAAAAAAAAAACTAAATGCAAAAATTCGATAAATAAAAGGATATTTAAACTAATAATAAATAGTCATCATTTACTCAACTTGTGTTGAATCTTTCTTTTGCAAAACAGAAAACAGAAATATTTAAAAAATTGACGCTAACCAAATTGTTTTGGAGCTTCTATAGGTTTTCTTTGAATATATCCAAAAAAAAAAAATTTACAAGCAACTTCTGGAAAAAATAAAGTAGGGCTGTTGTACCCTATACCTTTCTGTGTAATAAAGTATTTTTCTGTAGCTGCTTTTTGTAGATTTTGACTTTTTTTTTGGTGTTTTTTTTTTTGTTTTTGTTTTTTTGCACCAAACACAATAATGACTTCTACTAGTTACTGAGTCAAATTTAATATGTAATTAATAAGACAAATTAATCTCTACATTAAGTAATTAAGTGCAAATTAAGTTTGCAATAAAGTGAAAAATGTAATCAACCAACAGCTCTAGTTTGAAACTGAAGGATTCGGATTTTTACCTTTCAATCCTTCTCAGCGTAAATCGTTTATCTTTTTCTCATCATTCAGTTTCTCATTATTTGTATTAGAGATGATTATTGAATAAAGAATAAAGTAAACGCATTGCTTAATATAAGAATGTTCAGTGCATTTGCCCGTCACTCTCTGCAACTATTTTCAGGAGCCACCAAATTAGATCAGAGGTCACAGAGACTTCAGTAGAACTGAAGAGCTGAGGACTGGAAACAGCTGTTTTTATTGTTATTTCTATAAGTTAATACCATCAAAAATGCCTAAAGTTATTTTGATATTTTTACGGTTAATTCTTTTAAAGTGATTCTACTTTTTATTCAAGATAGACTTTGTGTAGTAAGGATATAACTGCCTGAATGTAGATTATACCGGTTTTTAACCAGTTTTGATAAATACGGCTCAGAGTACACTCAGCTTTGGGTAAGAAACAGATTGTACTTTAAGAGTGTGTTCTATATGATTGTTGATCTGTTTCACAGGTCTGGAGTCAGCTCAAAACATTCTAGTGGATGTCTTACAAATATATGCTTAAGATATTGTTCAGAATTGTACACACGCACCCACAGGGAAATTTTCCTTGTCTATCTGTGTTTTATCCAATCAGGTAATAACACCAATATGTATGACGCAGTTAATCACGTTATGAGAGAGTATAATTGTTATTGATTGGTGATTGTAAGCAGAGCGGCCTAGGAACTCGTTGCGAGTGTTGAAGCTGGCTTCTGCTGATTAAACTGCAAACTATCTTCAGTAAACTTTATTTATTTATTTGAATCTCTGACTCTTTTCCCAGAGATGGGTTGCAGCTGGAGGGGCATCCGCTGCTTAAAATTGTGCTGGATAAGTTGGCGGTTCATTCCGCTGTGGTGAGCCCGGATTAATAAAGGGACTAAGCCTAAAAGAAAATGAAGGAATAAATGAATGAACGGCTGTCTCCAGTTCTTCTTCATCTGCACATTCTTTGGGGTAAAACTGTAAATAATCCCTACAAAACAAACAGCAAAACAAAAATTATTTATATCAAAGAAATCTAAACGTTAAGTTTCCTTTTTCTGTAAAAAAAAAAAAAAAAAAAAAGATATTATAAAAAAATTACAACAAAAAAAAAAGTTTGTAACCATTGACTTCCATTGTGGGAAAAACAAATACTATGGAAGTGAATGGTTACCGGTTTCCAGCATTTTTCAAAGTAATTTTTTTGTGTTGAACAGAAAAAAAACTATGACCTTTTTCATAATTTTTTTGTTTTGGATAAACGACCCCTTTAAATTCATCCCTATTCAAAAAAAGAAAAAAAAAACACAATGAAAGCAGAACAAAGCAGAAAAATCTGAGAAGTGCAAAAAGTTTATGCTGCACTGCCACATAACCTTGCCTCCTGACAGGACTAACTTGTATTTATAGCTGATGGGAGAGCACTCAAATTAACAGCATAAGCGAAAAGTACTTCTTAAATCAAAACAGAAAACAACTCCCTAGGCCTCTGCCTGCGCTTTGAGGAGAAGAAGAGTTACGCATGTGGAGGGGCTGCGCTGTGACACAGTGATGGCTGATGGGAGATTTTCACCCACCGGGGCGCTAAAGTCTCTGTCCTTTAAATGAAAGCCGAGGTCTTATGATCCATGTTATTCAATCTAGCTGAGTTTTACAGCTCCAGCGCAGGAGTGATTATGCCGATGGGGGTAACGTAGCATGAAATAACACTGAGTGTGTGTGTGTGTGTGTGTGTGTGTGTGGGAAAGCACATATTTTAGAAGTGATAGAGAGTGTGGGTGATCTTAAAAGCAATAACGCTGAGATGTGTACGTGTGTATTTTTTCCCCAACCTGATTGAAAAGCTCGGTCGTCAGTCCCAGGTAGTTGTGAAGCGCCAGGAATGTGACTCTCTGAAGGCGCACCATGATTATCTAAACAGACAGAAATGAGACATGAATTAATGCTGTCAGCTTTGGTAATTACTATAATTGCTACAATTACTTACTTGAATTACAGTTTGAGATTGTGCTAATACTACCCCAATGTCTATGCAGTTAAATGAGCCATATCAAGATTAAAAATGTGCTTGATATTTTGACATATAAAGATGTGTGATGCATTGTTTATTTGTGTATACATACACAGTGCCTGAAGAAAATCATTACACCTTTTTGAAATAATTACTTTATTTGTCATACAGCCTGAAATTCAGCACCATGGGAGGTAGGGCATTCTCTTACCCTGCACCCAAACTTGGTTCCTTGGACTGTTGTAAGAAGCTACTTTAAACTCATCTTTTTAGGACAGTTTTTAATTTGTGATATCTTTTTTATTCTCACTGTCTTTTTTACAGTATTCTTCATTGTTTTACTGTGCATTGTTGTTTTTTACTGTCTTGTAAGTGCTTTGGGTCTTAGAAAAGCGCAATATAAATAAAATGTATTCTTATTATTAAATTAAATCACATTCCAAATAAATTTTCTAAAAGGCGTATCTTGCATCTTGTAAAAGGGGTAAAATAGCTGCCATTTAAGCTTAAAACTATTATCGATTTTCCAAGTTGCACATAATATAATCTATTTTCTAGATACAGTTATAACAACAATACAAATAGCTTTTGATTTATTTAGTAGAAATGTATAGAATTTTGGCGAGGCAGTGGTGCAGTGGATAGTGCTGTCGCCTCACAGCAAGAAGGTCGCTGGGTCACTGGTTCGAACCTCGGCTCAGTTGGCGTTTCTGTGTGGAGTTTGCATGTTCTCCCTGCCTTCGCGGGGGTTTCCTCCGGGTGCTCCGGTTTCCCCCAAAGTCCAAAGACATGCGGTACAGGTGAATTGGGTAGGCTAAATTGTCCGTAGTGTATGAGTGTGTGTGTGTGAATGTTTGTGTGGATGTTTCCCAGAGATGGGTTGCGGCTGGAAGGGCATCCGCTGCGTAAAAACTTGCTGGATAAGTTAGCCGTTTATTCCACTATGGCGACCCCGGATTAATAAAGGGACTAAGCCGACAAGAAAATGAATGAATGAATGAATGAATGAATGTATAGAATTTTGTTCAGTCAATAATATCAATGATAATTATATGTAGTAATAGATGGTGTCAAAAATAAATACATTTACCAGAGCATGTTTTTCAAGAAAATATTACTTCAAAAACGTGTTTAATTCGATGTGTTATTTTCCAGAGTGGTATGTTTTGGTGAAATTTACCAGCAAGTGAAAACCTGATGCAGACTGTTTACCGAATTTTTTTCAGAGTAGCTTTGAACTTTAAAAAAAAAACAGACCATTTAACTATTATTGCTCATAATAAGGGGAAGGAGAACGAGGAGAAGAACAAGAAAAAGAAAAAAAAGGAGAAGTTGTATGTTGCAAGTTATGTTGCAAAATATACATAATAAGACCAATTTTTTTGTGTGAGTATCTTTAAGTTCAGTCTAAAAAATAAAAGTCTGAAAACTAGGCAAACCAGGACAAAATGTTTAACTTTCTTTACAAAACAACAGGAGCTAGCAGTGCTCCTTTGAACTCTACAAAAAGCCACTGGTACTCTTTGGCTAATTTGAGGTAAATATCAAATATGAAAATATGAAACACTCCAAGGCAGTTTTGTCATAAGGATTAAAAAGCCTTAAATTGACCTGGTCCAAGTCATTAATAAGGGACGATCTACACATTTCTGCAATTTGTGTGCCATACATGTTGTGCAATGTTAGATAGATCAGATACTATAGATTTACACTTTAAATATTTTAATGACTTTTTAAATCCTTATTACTTCAAAGCGTTTCATCATTTCAATTAGGATGTTTTTCTATTTCAGCATGGACCAAATTAATTTAAGTGAGAGGACACAGAAAAAAAAAAATTCATTCTACTTCAGGGGAAAGAAGAGGTGAAGAATATGCCCTGTTGTTACACAGTGGCTTAGACAGATGTTGAGCAAGGCAGAGGTCACACTGATGCAGACCGCCACGGCAGAGTTCAGTACCTGTATGACCCTCACTAACGTCTCTGGGTATTTCTCAAACACTGACTGGAAAGCTGAGGCAGGCAGACGCAATATTGTAGACCTGACTGCCGCACGAGCAGACACGGTCTTATAAGGAGCTGGATAACCCTGGAGAAACAGGACAGGCCTTTAATCTCAATGCACTGGAGCCAGAGAAGTAATCATGAAGGCAGACAGAGAACTTACCGTAATGATATCTAGGATGCTGAGTAGACTGTGAACGCTGTCGCCAGGCAGCACGTCCTTCACCACAAGCTCTGTGCCATCCTGAAAGACACACACACACGCATAAAAAGAAGAACCGGACAACTTTAGTGGGGCACTAAGCTTAATTACTCATTTGCCATTTAGCAGACAGTTCTTCAAAGTGACCTACAGGGAATTTATTGCAGGGACAGACCTTGTGGAGTTACCAGAGGTTAAGTATTTTAATCAAGGATATTATGATGATTGTTCATGAATCAACTGCTGTGGGGTTTGAACCTATAACATTTTCTTTGGCAGGCCAGGGGCCATATTTACGCTGTTGAACGCAAGCCATATCACAGTGCAAATCAGATCCTAATAGTGCAGAAGATAACCGGCTATGTTATCTATGTAAATCTACTAACAACATGAGCGTAAAATGTTTTCTTAAGTGCATTCAACAACAGGGCAAATACCAGTAATTTCCGCAAACCTTAGCAAATCACACTCCCATATATCATATATTGAATTAAAAAAACACATTAACATTTAAATTAAAATATGCATTTTCTTTTTTTAGATATGAGCATGAGTGTAAAATTTCATAGGCATACACAGAATCTGCAGAAATCAACAGATTATGCATTTATTTATTTATTTTTATTTTAGAAAGTAAAATTTTCTGTCTTTTGGTAGATAAAGTGGTTCTAATAGAATTTGCGTTGTAAATCGTAAATAAGTTAAAAAGTTATAACTTTTTTTATTTTAAGTGTTATGCTTTCAGTTATACTCTCAAAATCCTTCTACATGAATTAGCATATTTTTATTTTTATTTTTTACACAATCTTGTGCAGAAATATCAAAAACTGTCAGAAGATTCTGTCTGAACCTGCTTATTATAATAATAATAATAATAATAATAATAATAATGTCTGTATTTTTTTATTTATTTTAAATATATTTTTATATTTATCTATTTTTGGTATTATTTATTTATTCTATTAATCTATTACTATTTTACTTTTGTATGTATTGTTTTTATATTGTATTTTTTACTGATAATTGTTGTATAAATGTTTGATGGACCAAAATTTCAAGCAAGTGGCAACCTCCTGCTCTTCCTCGGGAAGCCAATACCGGAAGTAACTAAAACTGCAGTTCATCGACTGGCCTTTGGGGGCTGGCTCCAGGAACTCCAGATGTTTTCTGACTATAATGTTAAATTGGCAATTTTTGAAGCGGATAACAATATGTTTACAGACCGGTACAAACGATGGTTTCAGTGCATTTAGATAATATTACTCTTCATGACAACTGTGAGGGGGGTGATATTGTTTACAACTCATCCGTTTATTTTTTATTACATTATATTAAAGTCTGCCTATTTAAGGGCGTGGCCACTTGAGTAACATCTAAGTCTCGTTGCTCGCTGTCTCGTCACCTCAGCTGACTCCAGTTTATCAGTCACTGAACTTGGCAAATACATCGGATTTTTGTTTTGTTTTGTTTTATGCGGCTTTACGGTCAATTGCCTTTTAGAATTATTTCCTACAATAACCATGCTGCTGACCAAATTGTGCTCACAAACCGTTCAAGTTGCTTCCATTTCGCAAGTGAGTGAAATTACATATTTGTATACCATATCTATAAATGTATTTATAGATATTTACTTAAGATCATTTATATTTTTCTTTAGACCTGTAATGCACTCCAGAATCTGACAGATTGATTAGCTGTAGGCTATAGAACAGTCATCTGAAGCGTTGTTGAAGCAGTTTAATGCGTGAATTTCATGAATAGCCTTGCATTTATCAACACAGACTATTTTTGAATATTTGGAAGTTATTTGCATTTTCCTCCTGTAGAAAAACGTCACAAGAACAATGCTTAGTGGTTCAATGTATTACAACAGAGTTTTTAAAAGACTAAACACTTTATTGATATAGTATACAACCAAACACAAGTGGTCAAAACACAAACGAGTCGCAGGTAATGAAGTATTCAGTGTTTTTCCCAAAGAAAATCCTGTCTAAGCAAAATCATGTCATGTTTCCACTGTCAGGCTAGTACAGGGTTTTTCAAAGTCTAAGACAGTGGGCCTCCCTTTTGACACAACTTATCTATTGGCGCCCCCCTCCTCCCAAACACGCACGCACTCACGCACACACACACACACACATATATATATATATATATATATATATATATATATATATATATATATATATATATATATACACAGTATATATAAAGACACAGACAGATGTCAGACTCTTAACTCGCTTTTATCATCATTTGCATGAAAGTGCAATTATTTACAGAGTAATAACAAGTATTTTAATATAACGTTTTTAAAACTAGGATGATGGTTCAATATGAATAGAACAGATCCAAGAACTGTCCATCCCAGTCAAAACAGTCGAAGTTTAGCGGGTCTCATGCTGTCTTTAGCCAAAATATCTTGACAAACCACACATAAAGGTCGTGGTTTATCAGCTGGTCCTGTCCACGTAAATCCTAAACTCAAATACTGATCATCATATCGTCGTCTTTTGGGTTTAAGCCCTGAACTTGAAGGCTTTGAATCGGGGCGTCTCAGAAACCGATCCATTGTGTTAGCAGGCATATACCTGTATAAGCAAATTCACAGCTATGGCCTTCTGGGTAAAAAAGGTTTTCTTATTTTTGACGTATTATTTTTTTTAGCTTTTTTTAATTAAAACGTTTAAATATAATAAAAAGTACATATAATAATTAAACTTAATAATTATATTTTTATTATATAACATTTTTTCCCGCGCCTCCCCTGACATGCTCTGGCGCCCCCCAGGGGAGGCGCGCCTCACACTTTGAAAACCCCTGGGCTAGTATTTCACAGCACAACACGCAAACCCAGCACCCAGAATGTCCCCAGAATCAAACGTCACACAACCCGTCCAGTTCAGCGGGAATCAGACAGATAAAGCACACCATTTAAATCTAGATGTAAACGGACTTAATATGTCATTAAAGAAATCTCTCTCAAAAACATTGGTTAAACTAGGCTAATCACAGCCTTAACCCCGTACTCAACAGGCTAACAAAGTAAACCAAAGTGTGCAAAGTGTCAAGGTGAATGCGGTTGATGCAAAATTTAACTGACATTGCTTAAGTTTGTGCTCTAATGGAGAAAAATATATACTTGTATGGCTCATCCTTACAATCTCAAGAATGCAAAGCTCCAGCCTTCCATCCTGAACCACATAAATGCTGTCGTCATCATCCCCCGGTTTGAAGAGCCCCTCTCCCTCCTGCAGCTCCACAAACACCATGTGCCGACACAGCTCCAAAAACAAAGGCTTCTCAAAATGACCAAGAACCCTAAAAAGGATTAACAAGCAACATTTTATCAGACTAAAAAACATAATGTGGTCTGTATGCAGTTGGGCTGTGATCGAGCGAGTCAGAGGTGTGCAACCTGACGTTCTTGAGCATGTACAGCACTTCTGAGGGCAGGTTTGAGTTCTGCACATCAAACTCAGTGAGATCTGCCTCCAGGAGAGAGGGAGGGGGTTCCTTAGGCTGCAAAGTAGGCGGCTCCTTTCTGATACGCAAGATCCTGCAGGACACAAAAGGATCACATAAGGATTCAAAAAAAATAATCATTCTGATTGGATGGACTTAGAGATTCACACAATAAAACACAATCTTAGAGATAGTTCACTTAAAAATGAAACTTGTCACTATTTGCTCACTCTTACCTGTTGTTTCAAACTTTATCATAAACTAGAAGCCCCCCACATGATTGCGCTATATAAATGCACATTACATTGTATTACTAACTAGTGACTTTTATAGAAGGAAAAACAAATTCCTTGGAAGTCAATGGTTATCGGTTTTCAGCATTTTTCAAAACATCTTCTTTTGTGTTCAACAGAAAGAAGGACACTCATAAAGGTTTAAAACAAGAAAAAGGTGAGTAAATGATTACAGAATTCCTAGTTTTGTGTGAACCATCCCTTTAAAGTGTCATGAAACCCTTTTGTTTCAGCAGTGTTTTTTAAATGAAGTAATGGATTGCATAAAAATGAACCACTTAATGCATTCATACTTCTGCACGCTGTTTGTGTTGCTCTGCAAAAACACTACTGAAACACTAAGTGGCAGCAGGCTATTATGTTCCTCTGTGTCAAGTGACTTTTACAATAATTTGTGGATTTTTCCAAAACTTTTCCAGCCCTGGAAAATACCATGTCAAAATTTCATGACTTTTCCAATTTTTTATGACTGTATGAACCCTGTATTATTCAAAATTGTGCACAATGAATGGATCGGATCAGCTGTTCGGATCAGCATAAAATGCATAGAAATGCTCAATATCAGATTATGTACACTCCAGTCATGTTGGCCAATCACTACTCCGAATGAACGCATATACATTATATTTCACGATGAGATTTGCTTTTCAAACCAGAAAAATGAATTTAATTATCCCAAACAGTCCTATTACTTTAATGTAATGTGTACTTATATAGCGCATTTATTGTGTATGGCCATACACCCACAGCGCTTCACAATCATAAGGGGGGGTCTCTCCATACCACCACCAGTGTGCAGCATCCACTTGGATGATGTGACGGCTGCCACAGGACAACGGCACCAGTGCGCTCACCACACACCAGCTATTGGTGGAGTGAAGAGACAGTGATGGAGCCAATTCGGTGGATGGGGTTGATTGGGAGGCCATGATCTTAAAGGCCGATAGAGGGACTTTGGCCAGGACACCGGGGTTACACCCCTGCTCTTTCACTAGAAGTTTCATGGGATTTTTAATGACCACAGAGAGTCAGGACCTCGGTTTAACGTCTTATCCGAAAGATAACTGCTATATTACTGCTTTATCAATGTGCCACCAATGTACATCTGTTAACACCTTAAAAATGTCTGTGACCCTTTAAACTGTGCGAGTAATAAAACAAGATGGCATATGCTCTGTAAAATATGTGAACCTAAACATACCTGCGAGCTATACTTAGAACTTTAGGTCTTTTCCGAGAGCGCTGCTTAGACACCAAAGTGGAGGTTGGTGTGGAGGACAAGGTCTGGACCTGAGAGATAGCAAATGGAAGAAAACCAGAGGAGGATGGAGAGTATATATATATATATATATACATACATACACACATACATCAGGTTGTTAGTCATACAGTGCCACACATACAGGATAGTCATTTGACACTTGCCACACTCTATGCTGCCCCCCAGTGGAGGAAGTCTGAGGTTGAAGGTGATTATGTACATTTTAATTACACCTATAAATGACTATTTGCGGTGCAAGTCTCAGCAGAGTCAGAGTATGACCCCTCGGCTATTTGTCTTCTGTACTGGAAAAGTGACTATTAATCAGCAGCTAAACAGTGCAAATCACAAGCGAGCAAATAGAATTAAGTGAGAATGGACTCACCTTTCTCATGATTTTCCTGCCGTAAAAGAGCACTTTATCTCTTTTTCTGAAGCGATAGCGAGGAACCCCAGCCTCCTGACCTTAAAACACACACACAAGCAGATGCATAATGGCGTTCCACTGACTTACTGTAAACATACACTATCAGTTAAATGTTAAAAATAATAGTTATAATTCAACAAGGATGCTTTAAATACACTCATAGCATGTACATGAACAAAAAATCTGCATTACAATGACTAAGAATCAAGTGTTGGCCCTCGTAATACAATTTAATCTTTGTTGACCCTGAGGAGATTTATCAGCAAATTTTTAGTGGAACAAATGCTTTATGACCCTCAAAATATACAACTTTTTTTAAGGATTCAGCATTTAGTGTTTGGGTCATTTTGGACCCAAAAACAAAGGGGGAAATAAGTATTCAACATGCCTCCACTTTTCTCAGAAAACATATTTGTAAAGGTGCTGTTGACTTGAGTTTTCACCAGATGTTGGTAACAACCAAATAAATCCATATATGCAAAGAAAACAAACTAATTAGTTTAAAAATGAAGTTATGTGTATTAAAATTAAATGACACAAGGGAAAAGTATTGAACACATGAAGAAAGGGAAGTGTAGAAAGGCAGTGAAAGTGCAGACAGCAGCTGAAATCTCTAAGTAGTTATTCAGCAACCCTTTGCCATTCCTCATTGTAGTTGCTTAAGTCTAACATCTACTTTATCAGGATGATGAAGATGAAACCAGGGTGAACATTTTAGCAAGACAATGATCCAAAACACAGCCAAGGGAACTCTCAAATGGTTTCAGAAAAAGAAAATTGAGCCGTAGAATGGCCCAGCCAATCACCTGACTTAAATCTAATAGAAAGTATAAATTAACGATCAGATTTAATAGACGAGACCCACAAAACCATCAGGATTTTTACACTCTGTTGAAGTGTGAAAAACTCACACCTGAGCAATTCACATGACCTTATTCTCCATATAAGAGGTGTCTTTAAGGTATGCAAGTGTCAAAACTAAAACTTTTGCACAATGTTTAGCGTTTTTTTTACAGTATATCTAAAAAAAAATTTACATTTTTTTAAGCAATGATTTATTTAACTAAAATATTTCTCATCGATATTTAAATTGACAAATTCAAAAGCTTTGAAATATGTATTATGTATTAATAAATTATGTAATTAAATTACACATAAGACACAATATAATCGTTTAATTTTTTTTTAATTTAACTATGACTATTTTATAACTGCTGTTAATTGATATAAAACAGATATGAAATCTAGAAACAGTACAGATTTTGAATGCATAATAGGACTCAACACGAAAGATTATTATGCTGAAAACTCAAGTTAGAAAATTCAATTTAAAGTTGTTTTACTTGCATAATCATTTGCAGTGTTCTTTCACAATATTATTGCTAACTGCATGTTTCAACAATCTATTAAAAAGTAGCAAACAACCACATGAAACACATTCAGAACAAAGCAACAAGCTAAAATAACACAATGCAAAATCAAGCTCTTCAGACAGCATGCATTTTGGACAAGAGGTGAAACGTACTCGCATGTTTATATCTGCGGTAGAGGAGCAGCACGGTAATTCCTATTAGACACACAGCCACCGCAGCCCCGATCAATACACCAGTCAGCTGCAACAGACAACACAGAAGTCACAGAAAGTAAAAAATAGGACATTTATTACATGAAAACTGTTGTGTTCTACTACTGGACTTTTGATTACCCTTTTATCAAAACTTGTAATACAGCATATACTTTTAGCAACAATAGCAGAAGGAATAAAAAGTCAACATGGGTGCATCAACCCGAATACGATTAAACAAATATCAATATCACTTCACATTATCTGCACATGTGATTGGAGTCAGTCTCATCACCTTCCCCTTGCACTAAATGCTATTATAGAGAAATATACCAGACTGGATTCATTAGGGAACACGTTGATAAATTTGTGTTGTGTACCATAGTAGTCTGCATTCTCTCCTCCACAAACTGCTGCAGGCGAGAACGAATGTCACTCCCAATAGCCTGAGGAAAGACACCAATATAGAATCACACACCTATTATAATTAATGTAATTAATGAAAACAAAATTACCACTTGTAACCAACAGGAGTCCATATAATCTATCTAGTCAAACAATGAATTTAGCAATCGCAATATCAGTGTAGTTGAATTAAAACAACTAGTGCAGGGCAAAAAATAATCATGATTAATGGCATCCAAAATAAAAGTTTGTTTTCACATTCAAGGTTCAATGCTAAAGATTTTTTCTACTGGCCCGATCGCACCAGTGGTTCAGATTTTTACTTGCCTCTCCAATATTTTCACTGGCCCCACAAAAAAAAAATTAAAAAAAAGTTAACAGCTATTTCTTAGCCACATATTTTAAATAATGTGTCAAAAAATCAGCCAATCTACAATTTAAATATTTAAAATGTTAATAAAAGTAGCAGTATAGAAAATATGCAGGTATTTTATTGCAAACAAACTGTACAAAACATCACTTAAATGTCTGCTTCCAAGGCGTTAGAAACAGATGTTTTTTAGCATCATATTTTAATGTTGCAGTCTCTTCGCTGTACTGGTTGTTACAGAAAAAATTATGTGTAATTCTTATCATTGAGTGCTGACAGAATATATGTTTGTGTGTTAGATATACTTATTATGTATATATGATAAAACGAAACGATTTAGCTACATAGGTATTTAAATTTATATATAATTTGCATCATACATACATACATATCCATGTATGTGTTTATTTATATGTACACACATAATAAATATCCATAACACACACAGGTTATGTCAAGACAAACTTTTATTTTGGATGCCATAACTTAAAACCCACTAAAAACACATACTAACACTAAACAGACAGACAGACAGACAGACAGACAAGACGTGTGGAGGGATGGGTCAATAGATAGATGGGATGGATAGATGGATGTGTCAATAAATATGACACTAACACAAAAACAACACAAAACCAACACTAAAAATGACACTAGTTATTTCCCCAAGGATTTTCACAGGAGAAAACACAACGATGCCGAAACATAATACCTGAGGTGCTTTTATTTTTATACTTCAGTTCGCTAGCCTGGCTTGGTTCCATGATAATTGTAATAATTTCCTCCCATGGTAAAAAAACTATTTTTCTTAACATAGAAAATAGATTAACATAAAGCTGAGAGCTTTTTCCACAACGTCATCTGTATTTTTAAAATTGCTTTTTTTTATTTCTAACATGGATTCTGATTGACTGTCAGTATTTTATCATTAGCTGAAAAAGAAAAACGTTCTGAAAATGATCCCAACAATATAGTATCTTTCAGTTTCTTTTTCTATATTGTTTATTGTTACAGCCGTGGTCTGTACTCTGCAGTTGTTTGTTTCACATTCAGAATGATTTTTAGAAGAATGTCTTTATCGTTAGAATGCTTGGTGTGAGCAGCTCTTAACACGGAGTAAAAAATCATAAAAATGTCAGAAATTTTCTAAAAGCACATTTATATTGAACACACATTTATAGTCAACACACATTTTATTAACAAAGCTTCAAATTTAAAAAAATACATTTTTGTACTGATAACTTTTTTGCTTAAAAAAAAAAAAAAACTTCAAACTCGCAGACACTATGAATTTATTTACACATTACACAGAACAATGCAGTTTTGCTCATGCTGGGGTTTCTTTGAATTCATGATTATTTATTTATTTTATTTATTTTTAAATCCAAGCCATATCTTTGAACTCAAACAAGATTAAAAGGGGCCAGAGTTTGTTCAGGTTTTTCCGGTCTTGAACAAAAATACAACAGCACTTCCCCTTTGAGCAAAAAAAAAAAAAAAAAAAAAAAAAAAAAAAAAAAACTTCAACAACTAATCCAGCACTCCTCTTTGTAATGAATAATGAAAATACAATAACTTAAACTAATGTCATTCTAAACATATTTGCCATTATGAATAACAACGTGCTGTTCGTTTTCAATGAGCCAGGTTTGATTAACAAACGATCAAAAGAAGGCAAAAAATTCTGATTATATATTCCCATGTTCAAACAAACAAATGATAGAAACGCTTGATACTCACAGGATACAGGCAAAGACCTTCATCCTCTTCTCCCATATCTAAAAAGAAGAGAATTTAGTTTTTAAAACATGCCAACAAGCGGTCATACATTCAAGAAATATCAACAGGTCTGAACTGCAAAGTGTTGACAGACGAACTTCTGTTTAAACTGAGCTTAACATATTTCTTAAGATAATCCGATGGAAAATACTCATGCTAGGCAAATATGATTCAGTGTTTGTTGTCATTGAGTAAGTGACGACATGCATTAGCTTTATGGGCGTTGTAGCCATTTAAAATGTAAACAAACATGATAACCTTTATAAACTGACAATAATTATGGATTATTTTCAGAGCAGCTGCACAAATATACAAATAAAGCATAAATATCTTACAAAACAGCTCTTCAGCAGGTGGTTTATACGTGACAGAGTGAAATGCTAATTAGCTAGCATACAGTAGTTTACTCACTTAAGACAGCGAAATTGAAGACTGGTGCTGAATAATTCCGTTTTAAAGCATTGGTTTGTGGCACAGCTGCCGGCCGGGTCACTTTCTTGCCATTTCCACACACATCTCACTCCTTCGCAAACTTTGGGAGCTTCTTTTTTCGCCCCATGAAATCAAATCTCTGCTGTCGCCTTGACAGTCCTTCGCTTGGCAGTGACGTGCGATTTCATTGGTTGCAAATAATATCAAGAGTCCAATCAGAATCGCTGTTGTTTGATTAATCGTATTTGGTGTAAATGCAAAACAACACACATAGATAGTGAATGTGTACCGATAATTATGCAGATCTTTAAAATGCTACTGTAATTAAAAAACAAAGTAACATTCAGCTATTAATGCCACCTTTGGTGATAATTATACAAAATGATAAACCGTCATGATATTATTTTGTCATCTGTAAAAAAAATGTTTAGTGCTTGTCAAACGATTATGCTTATTCAAAAAAGCTTAATTATAATCAAAAATAATAAAAGAATTGTACATATTTACAAAATACACTCTCTTGCCGCTTTATTAGGTACACCTTACTTATAACGGGTTGGACCTCCTTTTGTCTTCAGAACTGCCTGAATGCTTCGTGGCATAGATTTAACAAGATACTGGAAATATTCCTCAGAGATTTTGGTCCATATTAAGTGATAGCGTCATGCAGTTCCTGCAGATTTGTTAACTGTCCATCCATGATGTGAATCTCCCCTTCCACCACATCCCAAAGGTGCTCTATTGGATTGAAGAAGAAACCAGTCTGAGGTGATTCAAGCTTTATGACATGGCACGTTACCCTGCTAGAAGTGGCAATCAGAAGATGGGTACACTGTAGTCATAAAGGGCTGGACATGGTCAGCTACAATACTCTGGTAGGCTGCTGACACAATGCTCAGTTGGTACTTATGGGCCCAAAGTGTGCCAAGAAAATATCCCCCACATCATTACACCAACACCACCAGCCTGAACCGTTGATAGAAGGCAGGATGGATCCATGCTTTCATGACGTTGATGCCAAATTCTGACCCTTACCCTACTATCCGAAGAAATCAGAAATCGAGACTGATCAGACCAGGCAATGTTTTTCCAATCTTCTATTGTCCAATTTTGTTCTTAGCTGACAGGAGTGGCCCCCGATGTTATTTTCTGCTGCTGTAGCCCATCTGCCTCAAGGTGTGACGTGTTGTGACGCTTCAGAGATGCTCTTCTGAATACCTCGGTTGTAACGTGGTAATTTGTGTTACTGTTGCCTTTCTATAATCTCGAACCAGTGTGGCCATTCTCCTCTGACCTCTGGCATCAACAAGGCATTTGCCCACCAGAACTGCTGCTCACTGTATATTTTCGGACCATTCTCTGTAAACCCTAGAGGTGGTTGGGATTGAAAATCTCAGTAGATCAGCAGTGCCTTAAATTCTATGCATTTGTTACTTTCATATTATTATTATAGTAATTGTTTAACAGCATATCATTTTTTCATATATACAATATAACTAGACCTATTATTTTTGTATTTTTGACAAAGGAAAAGTAATTTCACTATCCATTTTTGCCTTTGTTAGCTCAACCAAAGACAATCAAACATATCTCTGATCTTTTATAGCAATTTTATTTGTTTGCATGATGTTTCATACACACTGGACGTTACAAGAGAAGATCCTTATAAACAATAATGCCACCTGAAATCAATAACATCCTTGTAGAAGTTGTCTAGTGCTTTGTCTTATTTTTTTCTCATGGGGTAGAATTTCAAACCAATTACATGTCTCATTTCATATGGCCTTCAAAGACAACATTCGCAGATGTTTCTAAACGAGTGGCTATCATACAAACGCAAGCCATCAAAACCACAGACACAAGCGACACACTTTTAAATACTAAAAATGGCAGCAACAAGCAGGGCAGGCATCTGATATTCACAAGTTGTGGTTTTTAAATGAAAAACTAACAAAAACAACCTCCACCCATATATAATGATTCCCATTAAGAGCATACATATTGAAGGCTGTTTTTGGAGCAAACACAAGAAAAGATTTACACAAAAAAAAAAAAGTCCACACACTCTTTGTCCTCCGCCCTCTTTGAAGTCCAGTTCTACTTGTTAAGATATTTGGCCACTGAACTGTAGGCAAGAAGGATCTCCTTATCTTTGGGGCACGTCAGGTGGAAAACATCCTCCTTGTATGCTTTGTCCAAATACTTTGAAAGGCCTTTTAGCTCTGCAGGAATCTCAAAACCTCTGTACTTTTTGCACACCACCTAAAAAGTCGATAAAGAATTGAGATCTTTAAGCAAGATGAAGTTTAATGACCAGTAATTAAAATTAACTATATCAGCTCTATAATTTTCAAATTGAATGCATTTATTGTCTAAGGGGTGGGAAAAATGACCTTGACGATGTGTAGTTTTGGAAGCAGGTTGCAGTCAGCAAGAGAGAGTGCATTTCCGTCCAGGTAGTGTCTAGTGGACGTCGATAACTCTGGATTCTGGTCCAGTTCATGAGGAAGGGGAGTTAACAGGTACTGATCCAACTTCATCAAGCTCTTTAGAAACTTCTTCTCCAGCACTGAAAGATTCAACATTAAAGTGATGACATTCTAATCAATCCATTCCTCCATTGTTACATCTTTCTTTCTTTTCTATCTATCTATCTATCTATCTATCTATCTATCTATCTATCTATCTATCTATCTATCTATCTATCTATCTATCTATCTATCTATCTATCTATCTATCTATCTATCTGTCTGTCTGTCTGTCTGTCTGTCTGTCTGTCTGTCTGTCTGTCTCTGTCTGTCTGTCTGTCTGTCTGTCTATCGTTATATTTATTGACACATCTATCTGTCCATCTATCCATCTATTGACATATCCATCCATCCATCCATGCATCCATCTATCCATAAATTTATTGTTACATTTATTGACATATAAATCTATCTACCCATCTATTGACATTTTTATCTATCTATCTATCTATCTATCTATCTATCTATCTATCTATCTATCTATCTATCTATCTATCTATCTATCTATCCATCCATCCATCCATCTATCCATCCATCCATCCATCCATCCATCCATCCATCCATCCATCCATCCATCTATCTATCTATCTATCTATATATCTATCTGTCTGTCTGTCTGTCTGTCTGTCTGTCTATCCAATCCGTCCGTCTGTCTGTCCGTCCGTCCGTTATATTTATTGACATCCATCTATCAATCCACCCATTTATCTATTTATAGACAACTATCCATTCATTTGACACATTCACACATACATACATTGATTGGCATGTCCATCCATCTAACCATTTATCTATCTATAAAACTATTGTTATATTTATTGACATCCATTTATCCAACCATCTATTGGCATTTTCATCCATCCATCCATCCATCCATCCATCCATCATTATATTTATTGTTACATCTATCTATCTTTCTATTTGTAGATTTTACAAATGCGTTTGAAGTGACAGTCTCCATATTTTAAGCACAAAGTGTTTCTGAGGTTCACTGCCTTGGATCACAAACTACAGTTTTAACTGGATAAAAAGCTTCAGAGAAGGGTGACCCTTACTGTCATTGAGTCCAGGATTGGGATTTTTGATATATGCAGAGAATTTATGAAAGATGTCATCGCCTGCCGTGTTAGACTCCTTATAGCGGCAGCATAACTTGGGATATCTGTAATGAAAAATAAATAAATAAATACTTTATAGACAATTCCTGCTTTCTATTTATGTTGTCAAATGTTTGATTTAAAGTGGAACAAATAGTGGTATTTTATACAAAACATAAGACACATTACTGTATATTTCATGCATTTTATTTGCACACTCACTGTGGGGGAGCAAGGGTGTCTTCCAGAAACTCCTCAATCTTGTTGGTGTCAGTGCGCACCTCTCCATTATAAATGAGGAAAGGGGGCTGAGAACCTGGAGCCAGGTCCTTTAATACCTCTGGAGCTCTAGCAAGAAAGACGACATAAATAAATAATGAAACTACACATTAACAGTTGTATATGTATACATTAACAGAGTACTTACAGTAGATTGAATATACCAAATCATAACTTCCAGTGTAAAAAGCAAAACCCATTTTATAAAACATAGAAAACCTGATACATAAAAAAAAAAAATTATAATTCCATTCAAAACACATTTCCTCAAAACAACATGCATTTTTACACCTCTGAATTTGCATTTTCATAGCACACCAAGTGTTTAGAACGAGGACTTCCTCATTCTGAAATGACAACAGAAAGGGAAATATTCCGCTCATGTATTTTTGTCTTGCAATAACTTTTTCCTAACAAAGAAGCTATAAACCATTGCCTCTAGAGTTACTAGCAAATAAGTCTCAGCCTTAGATGTCATGCCTAACACCGCTAATAGACCTGTTGCTAAATGTTGGATGCATATGGCACACTATTTCTGGGGGTCAAGCAATCTTTACCAGTACCCTCTGGAAACTGTTCATTTCAGTCTTAGTCTACAAACATGTCCTACTGATTTTCTTATTTTTTTTAGCTTTTAAAAATGTTCATGAATGAATCTTTGACCATTCAAAGTGGCCAAAGTTCCCAGACCTTCAGCTGTCAGTCTGTGGTCTGGCTTAGTGAGACTGGTATCTAATGCACCTTTTGAGGCCAGGGAAGTCTACCTACACAGCTCTTGCCAGCTCTAGTATACCCATTCCCCTAAACCTCACTCCCAAAGCCAGAGACACTGGTTCGAATCCTACTTTGAAGAATTGCAAGTATGACTGAAGGGATTACAAAACCAGTTTAAGACTTTTTCAGCACGTCTTCTGGATAGATGAGTGGGATCAGTCTTTTACTGCATATAAAGAAAAAGGCATTCTACAGATCCCAATATTTACATTATAACAAGCAGACTTCTACTATACCCATTCCCCTAAACCTCACTTATATCAGGGTCACGGCAACAGTTTCACCCTTCCAGTTGTACTCTCTCCAATAGTCATGCACTCAATAGAGCTAGTGACATTACTATGTGGGGTAGCTTTAGGGGTGGGGTTGGGTACACATTGTCTGAGCATGCACGTGCACTCAGGCTGCAGCCAGACCATTTTTATCCACATATAAAAATTGTAACAGAGGTCAGCTTGTCTTAGACATCTTCTTAACATGTCAGCCTCCAGTGCAAGCAATGCAGGTCAAATCCCACTTTTAGAACAGCAAGTGCAGGAGGGGTTTAATTGGTGCCATGGCCCTTATTAGATTCCCTTTGCCTTAAGAGGCACGCAAACAAATGATGGTCATTAACATCCCTTTTGGCATCCATTCATGTCCTGAAATTCTGGTTTGAATCTGATCTAGAATCCATCCATTGAAAAAAAAAATGGTGCCGTGACCCAGATGGGAGTGAGGTTAACAGAGGCGAGTTTAACAGGCCAGCTATTAAGAGCTGTAGAGGTAAACATCAGTCTCCTGACCATAAAAAGCATACTTGTGACTGATGATAGAAGCTATGCTCTTAACCATATTATGAAGCATGCCCCAAAGCCAGAGACTGGTTCAAATCCTGCTTGTAGAATTGCTAATACGACTGAAGGAATTACAAAACCAGTTTAATGCTGTGTTCACACCAGACGCGGAACGCAAAGATAAATTGCACTTTTCGCGCGTAATAGCCGCGTGAACAACACACCTCTTGTGGATAGATGAGTTTTACTGCATATAAAAAGAAAGGCATTCTACAGATCCCAATATTTACATTAACAAAGCTAATTTGGAGAGTAGCGATTTCACTGTGAACCAAAGAAGTATTGCCATCCTGATGTCAGCATCTCTCACCTCTTCATGTCCACAGTGGTGAGGGTGAAGTTGACTCCTTTCAGCCAGAGTATCATAAAGAGTCGCTGACAAAACGGACAGTTACCAACACTTTCACCATCATCGCTTGCCTAAAGACAACATTTAGAAATCACACTGTTAAAACTGTTAGAATTTACTGAAAGTACAGCATGCAACTACTTTTTCAAAATGTTTGAAACATTGAAGGAAATTGTTAATTTGTTTTTTACTTAAAATAATTTCACCTTTACACAACTTAGAGATGCTATCATTAGTGGTAAATTCAGCAAGACCAGTTTTCAACCAACAGACATGGTTATGTCATAGGAATGATAGGAGGCACAAACATTTTGAGGAAAGAGATTAGATCAAAACAGATACACTTTTAAGCTCTAAAAAATCAAACTAAGCCAAATAACCACAAGAAAGTGTACCTTGACAAAAAGTTCAATCTTTGCAGCTTCAGCCATCTTTGGTTCTCCAATACCTCCTTTTTTCTGCCGTGTCTCAGTTTCCCAGGATCTCAGGAGAATGAGGTCAGTTTACATCAGTCCAGCTCAGAGTCTTATTAGAGTCCACTTCACCTCACGAGTTCAAGCTTTGATGCTTCGTCTAGTCGATCTCTGAAGAATTAAACTTTTTCGATGCTGATAAAAGCAGCTACTTTTCTTCTTCCTCTCCCAACCACAGTTTCTATCATTTCCTTTGAGAAGCCTAACTCCCACCACACCCCATTGGTCTTGAGTGTTCAGAATACCAGCCCACTGGCCGAACCTGTCCAACCTGTATCTTCCTTCATTCTCTGCTGCTTTAGTCATAGTGAGTTTCTCTCCAAACTGCTCAGTTCTGTCCTACTCCCATCATTCCAGTACAGTCACAGCGTGTTTTTACCCAAGTTTATCCTAAAATAAAACATCTGTTGTCATTAACAGAGCATCGTGTTGTTCCAAACATATAAAGGAATTGTTTGAGTGCATATTCAGTTTCAATTTACAATGAAAGTAAATGGTTGTCAGTGACTGTCACACTTTAAACAGACAAGATATTATAACAACATGACAAAAATCAGAAATGGAAGATATGGAAAAATCTGAGATTTAAACCAGATGTGAGAAATATAAAAGAAATTCTGATTATTAGTATGTACTAAAAACTAAACTTCTTTTTCTTTGCATTGCTGAAAAATTCCACATACAGACAATAATTGACCCCAATTGCCAAATATGACTAAAAATGCAGTGTATAGACTGAACATGAAAACATTTCACAAAATCATTTTTGGGGGTTTACATAGGGTAGGGCTGAGCAATATTGCAAAAAAAAAAAATCACAATATCATGTTTCATATCATTCAATATCTATAAATATTTCATTTTTTTTTAGCAATACATTTAGGAATATTATTATAATTTTTTTTATTTAACCACTTTATTTTAATTTACCAACATTACTAAGGCAAACAGTTTTAAAAGTCAAAAACAAAAATATTTATACAAAATATCTCATCTCTTTATAATAAAATAAACATAAGTGTTAAAGACACTCTTAAACTTGATAAATAAAATGTTACAAAGCGTGTGCAATGGTAAAGCGTAAATACTGAACAAAGAAAGCAAACTTTAAGTGTGAACAACAATGATACAGTAAACCTCAAACTCTGTCAACAACACAAATTATGATAATCAAATCAGAGCTTTCAAGTAAAGGAACCAGCCATCTTTATTCAAATACATACTGCAACATTGCAAATTGTGAAGTTGTATGACTACATTACCACTATGCTAAAAATCTTTCAGATGGGGAGCTGGGATTAACAAGAAAAGAAACCAAAAAGCCACTCTGCTAGCCACAGCACTCTTTTTCGCATGTGTTGTTATTCTGACCTGAAGTGACAAGTGCGCATGCGTGGATTCCTTGACCATTTACAATGGACTTTGGGCTCGTGCTCCCCTGGCGTCTCTCGTAACTAGACAATCATCCACCGTTTCCTCAGAGGATGACAAATGGACAAACCTTTGCTGCAGCTCTGATGCAAGTTTATGGAGAAAAGTAAAAAGGCACTGCAGTGTTTGGGTGTGCTGTGTTTGTCTAAGGTAATTAGTCTGCCGTTATTACTGAAATGTTTATATTCCATACAAAGTATGAAGCAGATTGGTTAGTTCTACTTATAAATCGCGGTGCACTCGCAGCATTCAGATAAGTTCAGATGTTTTCAACTTGGTGAATGCGCCCGTCATGCATCACATGTGGGCCACTTGCACAACATGTGTGCGTCGCTCTCATATGTGCATTGTGCCAGTCGCACGCCTGCATTGGAAATGGCATTCCTTTCAAGGTGAGTGCTCAGCAGTCACATATTGATAAAACTATAGCGCTTCATACTAAAACTTCATGCTGTTAATAAATATTGATACCGATTTTATAGCCCAAACCTAACATAGGAACAATACTTTTTTTGTTGCCATATTCCTAGACCAGGCTGTATCCTGAGCAGATGCTGTGGAAGAAAGCTTGAGACTGATTCTTGAAAGACCCCAATGACAGATAAGTCTCTGCACTGATCCCGAGGACCAACCTGAACCCCCGCTGGTAACCTACTCACACCTGCAGCTTCTCCACGATGGACATCCAGCCTCCAGTGCCTAGACTGCAGCTCTGCACAAGAAGTTTGATCAGAGAAATGGTCCTGCCCAACTGAGCCCGGTTTCTCTCGAGGCTTTTTTTCCTTCACTTCGTCAATTGGTGAAGGTTTGTTCCTTACCAGTCGTCACTAGGTCGCTTGGTTTTGGGACTTGTGGAGCTGCGCATCGATGGATTTGCTATGTAGTGTTTGGACTTTCAGCAATGAAAACTTAACTACCGGTACACTACTAAACTGAACTTCAACTCTAAAAACTGGACAGACAGTTTCAATTTGCTAGAACTTCTATGTTAAGCTACGTTGACATGATCTACATTGTAAAAGCGCTATAGAAATAAAGATTAATTGAATTGACTTGAATAAAAGTGCACTTCAAAACAAGCTATCAAAAATGGTAACAACTTAATTTAAAAATTTATTATGCAAACTGTTTATTCTGAGGATATGGTTGTATTGTTAATTTTATGTGATGTCAAAACTGTAACGGTACTTTAGATTGTTGTTGCATTGATCAGTGTTGAAGTACTCTGACCTTTGAACTGTGGAATTGGAGTGACAGTGAAAATACTTCAGTTAAGGAAGAGTCAAAAGATAGTGATTGATTTACTATGTATGAGGTGTGACATAGCATTTGTCTGTGCCTGAAAAACCATTCGTTTGAATGCTTATTGTTTCAAACTCTATTGAATGTTGCAACCACACCAAGAAGAAAAAAACATGCTGCTCAATGTAAAAACATGGTAAAGAGCTTCAATTTTTTGTTTCGTTAGTAGATGAACTATTTGTCAAATAAGCCAAAATGATAATTTCAAGAACATGACTGTTGAATAGGCGTATTACAGGTATGTCAATTTAACAAGCTAGCACATGTTAGCATAGAGAATGAATGTACTAAATCACAACGCTGCTTTTGTTCGAAATAGTCTGAGTCATTAAACAATTAGTGATTAAAGCTACGTCAGCTAAACTTGTTTTAATCTAAAAAAGACAATTATGGCATCGCCCCTTACAAAAATGACCAGAGTAATTATAGATGCCAAGCATAATAATCATAACGTCACAATAATACTTTGGCAACTTGGTTTCGACCACAACTGTCGTAAAGAAAATACTATTAAAGTAGGCTACTTTTTTATGTGCTTGAATAAGATGTAAACTCCTACTTACTGCTTATTTATACTTTTAGTAGCTTTGTTTAGGTATAAGGAGTAGAGTTAAAGGACCTCTAATATTGGCATTTAGACTTATATTAATGTGATTTGCGTACTAATAAACAACCACAAAGCAATATGTATGTTGTCACATAACAATTAAACAGTAAATATGTGCTTAAACAATAAATCTATGAAATAATATAGTACATATTACAGCCGTCTGATTTGCATCACTATATATTCGTATCAATGTAAGACAACTTAATAATCTATTTTAGTTGCTTAGACATACAAAAAAATACATTCATACTGTCACTCAACGATAATTTCTGTCCCGCAAAAATGAAAACTGTGTATTATATATTCTTACAATTTTGAGAGAAACACTCACCACAACTGTTATGCAGAGGAATACTAATTATCTTCATGTCTATATTAATAATAATAATAATAAAGTATTTAATCATCCTCGAACGGTTCAATCTAAACCATTCTAACATCTAGAACATTCCAAATATGAATGTAAACAAATTACCGTCTTGTGAACACGTGGCTGTAGCTGTTCTCTTTGAAAAACAAACACTGCCATCTAGCGTCGAGCTTGCGTAAGATGGTACTTTTTACAATCAATACAGGAAAAACAAAATGAAACATCTTCACAGAACCACTTTGTCTCCATATGAGTTTTATCTGTTTTTCCTCATGAATTTAAAGTTACTGGGGTCCAAAACTGCACTCAGATGACCCCCCTAGATATCACAAATGATGCCATAAGTCAGATAAAGCCAGACTCATTCATTCATTCATTCATTTTCTTTTTAGCTTAGTCTCCTTTTTTATATAGGGTCGCCACACAGCGGAATGACCCACAAACTCATCCAGCACATGTTTTACCCAATGGATGCCCTTCCAGCTTCAACACATCACTGGGAAACACCCATACTAACTCATTCACACACACATTCATTTTCTTTTCGGCTTAGTCCCTTTATTAATCAGGGGTCACCAGAGCGGAATGAACCGCCAAATTGTCCAGCACATGTTTGACGCAGCAGATGCCCTTCCACATGCAGCACATTACTGGGAAACTCTCATACACACTCATTCACACACACATACACTTTAGCCAATTTAGCTTACACAATTCACCTGTACCACATGTCTTTGGACTGTGGGGGAAATCAAAGCACCTTGAGGAAACCCACATGAACACACAACCTCCACACAGAAATGCCAACTGATCCAGTCAAGGCTCAAACCAGTGACCTTCTTGCTGTGTGGTGACAGCGCTACCAACTGCGCCACCATGCCACCTCAACAAAGAATCTTCGAACATTTGTTGCTATTTCTGTGCAAAAAATTTTAAAACAAAATCTGCGGATTTATGCATGATTTTGGTATCGTAAAAACTTAATATATTCGAATAAAAAATCTTATGTTTTTAACTTTTATTTTGTTTACAATGAAAATCCAATTAGAGCCACTTATTTGGTAAACGAAGCAAGTTTCTCAAATATCTTCAAAAAGACAGAAAATATTACTTTTCAAACTGTACTGTATGAACATTTTCATATTAGTCAAAATTATTGCTGAAATAAATTTAAAAATCTGAATAAATATAAATTTACACACATTTACACAAGTATCACAAATAGATTTAAAGATTGGTTTAAAAATGTATGGAAATCTGCAGATTTCTGAGCACGCAGATTTCTTGTGGGCTTAGTCATGATCTTGTGTTATTTTAAACAAGGATAAGTTTGTGTGGGCTAAATTTCGAAAGAAAACATTGGTCAATCACATTCGTCAGAAAAAAACATGTTAGTCAACTAACATCAGCAGTTTGTACTCGGCTCAGCTGATATCTTTAGCTGATCTATGCAATGCTTTTCTAAAACCAAACAAATGCAAAGGTCATAAATAAGAAATTAGAGATTATCCTGAAAACATTATATGAGAAATATGAAGCGCTGAAAGAGCATTTTGTAGCTAACACTTAACAATAAGATTTGATAACTAACAATCAAAAATATATTGTTGTATTGATTCATATTATTTAATGAACCTAAACTCAAACTAAGTAACAATGAAGTGCTTTATTCTTAAATAACTAATTGTTAATCAATTAATAGTGGATGAGGAAATCTTTTTATTTTAATTTTACACAGCAAGAAGGTCGCTGGTTTGAGTCCCAGCTGGGTCAGTTGGCATTTCTGTGTGGAGTTTGCATGTTCTCCCTGTGTTCATGTGGGTTTCCCCACATAAATGAATTGCATAGAGGTGTAAAACATATGCTGGATAAGTTGCTGGTTCGTTCAGCTGTGGCGACCACTGATTAATAAAGGGACTAAGCCAAAAATAATATAAATAAATGAATGATTAAATGTTTTGTCCGGGCTGTGGTACACTGGACCAGCTTTATACTCTCACCAGGGTGCTCGAGGGTTCATGGGAGAAGGCCCAACCAGTCCACATGTGTTTTGTGGACTTGGAGAAGGCATTCGATCGTGTCCCTTGTGGCATTCTGTGGTGGGTGCTCGGGGAGTATGGGGTTAGAGGCGATCTGTTGAGGGCCGTCTCATCCCTGTATGAACAGAGCAGGAGTTTGGTTCGCATTGCTGGCAATAAGTCACACTTGTTTCCAGTGCATGTTGGACTCTGGCAGGGCTGCCCCTTGTCACCAATTCTATTCATAATTTTTATGGACAGAATTTCAAGGCGCAGCCTTGGGCTGGAGGGGGTTTGATTCGGGGGACCACAAGATTTCATCTCTGTTATTCGCAATCGATGTTGTTCTGTTGGCTTCATCGAACATGGACCTTCAGCATGCTCTGGGGCGGTTTGCTGCCGAGTGTGACGCGGCTGGGATGAGAATCAGCACCTCCAAGTCCGAGGCCATGGTGCTTCACCGGAAAAAGGTGGTTTGCCATCTCCAGGTAGGAGGAAAGTCCTTACCCCAGGTGGAGGAGTTTAAGTATGTCGAGGTTTGTTCACAAGTGAGGGAAGGATGGAACGTGAGATTGTCAGGCGGATTGGTGCAGCGGTCGATGTACCGGTCGGTTGTGGTGAAGAAGAAGCTGAGCCGAAAGGCAAAGCTCTTGATTTACCGGTCAATCTACGTTCCCACTCTCACCTATGGTCATGAGCTTTGGGTCATGACCGACATGACAAGATCTCGGATACAAGCGGCCGAAATGAGTTTCCTTCGAAGGGTGGCAGGGAGCACTCTTATGGATAGGGTGAGGAGCTCTGACACCCGGGAAAAGCTCGGAGTAGAGCCGCTGCTCCTCCAAATCGAGAGAGGTCTGCTGAGGTGGCTCGGGCATCTGTTTCGGATGCCTCCTGGACGCCTACCTAGGGAGGTGTACCAGGCATGTCCCACCGGGAGAAGGCCTCGGGGAAGACCCAGGACACGCTGTAGGTACTATGTCTCTCGGCTGGCCTGGAAACGCCTCGAGATCCCCCCTAGAGGAGCTGGAGGAAGTGTCTGGGGAGAGGGAAGTCTGGGGTTCTCTCCTAAGACTGACCACGTGACCCGGCCCCAGAAAAGCGGCAGATCGAGTAAAGTAATTGAAAATGAAAATGAATGAATGAATGAATGAATGAATGAATGAATGAATGAATGAATGAATGAATGAATGAATGAATGAATGATTTTTTTTTAAACATACACTCAAAAAAAAGCTCATTGGATGAACTTAATTTAATTAAGGGCAGGGTTTCCTATCCAATCAATTTGTTTAGCACCAACTAAAAATAATTACACAATGAATTGCAATTGAGTTGGTCCAACTTGATTTGATCAAATAAAAGTTTAAATACATTTGTATTTTTATTTAACTTAAACTCAAAGATCTGATAATTTTATGTATGTCTAATATGTGTTACACTTTTTTAAAGTCTCTTAGTTTTATTTAAAGTTATCCTACAGTTTTTTTAAAGTTGCTAATAAAGCTACCAACACTCAAAGCATGGGTGCTTCTGCAAGGCGGTAATCTTAAAACTCAAAGCATTTCATGAAACTCTTCTAAATCTTCAATTTAAAGTGAAGATTAAACTCTAACAAGTCTTTCTATTAACTTTAAACACCCAATATTACTTTTATTGTCAACATTTCCCTGTCTTAATTCAATCCTCCTAAAAGCATGCTGGGAACTACGTATCGCCTAACCAGGTAGTTGGAGCAACACAATTCTTTCATGTTGCCCCAACACAAAAAAAGTTAAATTAATGGTTTATAAATTTAAGTGGACCGAACATAAAGGAAATAAATTGGCCAAAGAAGTTGTTTCAGCTAATTTTGAACAGGTAGTTTGAACAAGCAGCAGTAATCATTTTTTTTAGTCTATACAGTAGGACATAAATCATTGTAAAAATTATTGACATATAAAAAAAATTCGACAAATTCTAATGTATCAAGAAACACTTTTAATGCTTAAAACCCCCAATTTCAAAGATCAAACGGTGTTTTCAAGCATCAAAATTTCAAAGGTCAAAAGAAGTTTTCAGGAACCAGTCATATGAGGATATTTCAACATTTCTTTGTTCTCCGGGGGCATTTGACAGTTTAGCAACATGTCACTTCTCTATTTAAAGAAAACCAAAAGCAGCGGCAAGGAGAAGACAAATGTGTTGAGCGAGAACTGAAGTTTCATAAACTTCACTTCCTCCCCCAGCGAAACTGCAGAATCTCAACGCAAATACAGTTCAGAATCCACATCCGCAGACACTGATACACACACTGATATACACACATAACTTTAAATGTTATTGCTTTACACTTCTACACATCCTAGACTTAAAACCAAATTTTTACTTGTAAAAATAAATGCTAACAACTTAAAAGCCACCTTGAGTGGTAAACTCAACATAGCAGTGGTTTATTAAAATGGAGGTGTGTTGCATTTTTTACGGTCTGGATCTATTTGATACTGAGGTATTTGATCTACTGTCTGATTTGCATTCTGGTTGTGCAATTCAAAACTGACTTCAGAATGGTTTTTAATGGCTTTTTCAATGTTTCATGGCATTTCTGAATTTGATTTAATTTTGACGTGACAGAAGTGGATGTTTTATCAAGAGGCAATGCAAAACTAAAGCAAGACACGTGGAAGGGTGGATGAATAAAAAAAGTATCCAGGAAATGCTTGTTTCCTACAAGAGCGAATCTCAAATCATTTAATGACAGATCGGCGCTCCACCTTACTTTTTACTCGACTTTCTTTCTCAACAGCTGTGACTCGACAGCTGCGGTCTGACCCACAAGACTTGTTCCTCAAAGACACAGGTAAGAAAAAGTATATATATATATATATATATACATATATGTAGTATTAAGTCATTTGGATTTTTAGCACAGCACAATTGTGCATTTAAGAACAGCATTTCTATCATTTTCCATTCATTTTTCTCAAACTAGAATGACATGTATCATTTAAAGTAAATCAAATGCATTATTGATGTAAAACAATGCTTAAATGTGATGTGAAACATTTGATTCTGTTACTAATCCTTGTTTAAATCATTTTTAAACTTTTTAAACCACTAACAGAGTTGACAATACAACATTTTGTGCATTGCCTCAAGAAGCTAACCTCAAACCAGAAACCACATGAAATGCCTAAAAGAGTATTGTATGTATATTAATCATATTATAGTTTTCAGAAAGTAAACGTAACAGAGTTGACATACAATTAATCTCCTTATTCTATATCAATGTTTTGTACAAAATGAATGTAATGTAATGTATTTTTTATTTAATGCCATGTCAGCAACCAAGGCTATTTTCATGGTAAGAAAATTCTAGTAATAAATATACAACTAAAAACAACAAACAAATGAATACATAAATTAAATAAGGATAACAATTCTACATTTTTGCCTGGTGTCACTTTGTTAAAAACATCCTTAACCCTGTAATTACCCCACCAAGAAAAACATGTTTGGGTTGCATTTTTTAACTACTAATGTCGCTAGTTAACATACTTAATGCATTTTTTTTTTCAACACATCCCATAATTTCTAAAACCTCTACCAAATGGTTGATATGTCGGTTATGGTAAAAGTACTGAGCTTATATAATATTAAAAATCGGAAAAAATGAAGTGTAAGACCAATTTATTTTGAAAATAATAAAAATAAAGCATTTTTGAATATTAAATCATCTTTATTTTTAGAAGTATGACATCAAATGTTTCAGATTCTCATTTAACAGGTTTTTTTTTTTTTTTTTTTTTTTTTTTTACAATAAAACCAAAATCAAGTGTAGTAGTGGAACAGGATTTTGTTTAATTTTTCTGTAAACCAACAATGCTTCGTGGTGTAAACCATTATTTAAATGAGTCATTCTTTAAATGACTTTAACAACTGAAGCGTTAAAAGCATGACGGTCTTGTTAAATGTGTGTACAAATTAATGAGAACAATAAATGACATGCCTTAATGCCTTCCAAAGTTTTCCGCCAGATGATGTGAAATCACTTGTAGCAGGTCACATGCTTTTTCTTTAAGTGCTTTTCAGATTATTGAGCCCTTTTATGATCAATGTAAAAAAGTTGACCAGAATGTAGCGACAAACACAAAATAATTATTTTTATTACTGAAATTACAAATAATACACAAAATAGATGTCTCATCAAAGCCCCTTAAAGTGTATTCTACAGTCTTCGGATTATTGCAAATGTTAGTTAATTCATTTAATCATTCATTTTCTTTTTGGCTTAGTATTAATCAGGGGTCGCTACAGCAGAATGAACCACCAACTTATCCAGCACATGTTTTATGGAGCGGATGCCCTTCCAGTTGCAACCCATCACTGGGAAACATCCATACACACTCATTCACACACATATGCTACAGTCAATTTTAGTATATTAACCTATAGCACGTGTCTTTGGACTGTGGGGGAAACCGGTGGAAACCTACGCGAACAAGGGGGGAACATGCAAACTCCACACAGAAAAGGCTCGTACCAGCAACCTTCTTGCTGTGAGGCAATCATGCTAGCATCTGCGCCACCGCATCACCTAAATTAAAATTAGTAGAGTAAAAACTCACAAAAATATGAAAATTAGACTTGCATTTGTATTTATTACACTGTTTTGTTTTTTATAAATAAATAAATAAATAAATAAATGTTTGATCTGAATATTGTCTTTAAGTACAGTATTAGACAAAAACAAAGATCTCTGATTGGTCATCAATAATTTACTGATTTGTGCGAGCAAAAGGGTGTCTCTGTTTATTTAAGCTGAACAGAGCAAGGAAATTTTCACAGTTTGTCTGATAATATTTTTTCTTCTGCGTAAAGTCTTAATTGCTTTATTTCGGCTAGAATAAAGCAGTTTTTCATTTTTTAAGACCATTTTAAGGTCAAAATTATAAGCCCCTTTAAGCTATATATTTTTTCGATAGTCTACAGAACAAACCATTGTTATAAAATAACTTGCCAAATTACTCTAACCTGCCTAGTTAACCTAATTAACCTAGTCAAGCCTTTAAATTTCACTTTAAGCTGTATAGAAGTTTTTTGAAAAAATATCTAGTCAAATATTATTTACCTTCAACATAAACAGAAATGGTGGGGGGGGGGGGGTGTTAATAAGAGGGCTAATAATTCAGGGCGGCTAATAATTTTGACTTCAACTTTAATTCTAAGCTTATACTTTATGACATTACAAACTAATTATTACTTCTAATATTATTTTGTATTATTATAGAACTTCTAATTGTGTAAACAATAACAAAACCGGTAATTCCACCAGAACCAAATAAAACCAAAGTAAAATCAGTGGTTATTAATAAATACTAAGTATTCAAATAATACATAACACTTATTAAAAGAATTCAAATAACTATAATTATTTGTATTTCATTATGCGTTAAGTTTGTGTTCATGTCAAATTATTACACGGCTTTCTAGATTCTGATTGGCCAGATGTGGCTCAAAAACAATTTGAATAGTTTTACAATAGTTTTTAATAATGTTATTTTCAATAGTTTTTAATAATGTTTTTTACAATAGTTTTTAATAATGTTTTTGGCAACACTTTTGAAGTTCAGGTCACAATTCAAGCTATTAACTACTGGCTTATTACCTGTCTATTATTAAGATATTAACTGTTCATTAGTTATGAAGTATTAACTTATTCTGCATCCCTAACCGTACCCCAAACCCAACTTCTACTGTATTAACCATTAATAAACAGCTAATTAGTCATTTATTAAGCTTGTAGTGTTAGTCGATGGTTAGTTATATCCATGAATTGTGACCTAAACTAAAGTGTTACGATATTGCATTCATTTATTTACTTTATTTACTACAACAAACACTAAATCCAGCTCGTGTCTCTCTTAATTTTGCAATAACAACCGGTTGGATCTACAGGCACAGAAAATGTACAGACTAGGGATTCTGGTTGAGAATCCAGACTCACTCCCTCTACTGGATGCTCGCATCATCCACAGGAAGGAAGAAAATGACATGGATACTGACCACTAACCACACTTTGACATTCATCAAAACAAACAAACAAAACAACACACTAATGCCCGCTTCTTCTACTTCCACAGCATGCTTATGAGCTACAACATAAGATACATTGCAAGGTGGACAAAAAGGCAATTTCTACCCCTCTTCATTTGTCTCCTGACCGCCAGCCTCATCTACAGTTTACTGCCATTAATTGGTGAACAGCATCTAAACAGCAGCAATGCATCATTCACAAACAACATCACCATCCTGTTGTGGCATTGGCCATTCGGCATGCGCTACAATCTTACAGGAGACGTGTGTCTGAGGGACTACAACATCTCTGGATGCATATTAGTGGACAATCAAACTCTATATGAGAGCGCTGATCTGGTGGTCTTTCATAATTTTGAACTGATGTTCCACAAACAGCAGCTTCCACTGCATCTTTATCGACCCGCCAAACAGAGGTGGGTTTGGCTTTCTTTAGAAGCTCCTCAAAACAATGGAAATCTGTCACCATTCAAGAACATTTTCAACCTGACCATGTCGTATCATCCTGGAGCTGACATTACTGTTCCCTATGGGAAGCTATTGTTGAGGACAAATCCAGGATTAGATGTTATCGTCCCAAAAAGTAAGAGGTACGAAGCCTGTTGGGTGATTAGCAACTATAAGAAATGGCACAAAAGGAGCGAAGTGTTCCAGGAGCTGACCAAAAGCCTAAACGTGCAATTGTATGGGAGTTTTGGCCAAAAACCCCTCCCGAAAGAGGCGCTGCTCCCAACAATCTCCCGGTGTTATTTCTACCTAGCCTTTGAGAATGTACAGTCTCCACATTACATCACAGAGAAGCTTTGGAGAAACGCTTTCCAGGCCAGGACGGTTCCTGTAGTGCTTGGACCACCTCGTACAGACTACGAAGCCGTCACACCTCCGAAATCCTTCATCCATGTTGATGATTTTAAATCCGTTAAGGCCCTGAGTGAGTATCTGAGAGGCCTGATTAAAGATCCAGAGAAGTATAATGAATATTTTAGCTGGCAAAAGAAGTATGTGGTTAAACTATATACAGACTGGAGGGAGAGACTGTGTAATATCTGTCCCATTAATGGACAATTTCCAGCTCAAAAGGTTTATGGGGATTTAGGAGCTTGGTAATGGGCATCTGGTATTTTAAGAGGACGTTCACATTTAATATGAAAATGTTTTTGTTTTGTAAATGCGAGATGCTGAGAAATGTGAGAGCAGTGGATTGATTTAAATGTTCATGCAAAATTGCACAAAAAAAAAAATCATAGACATATATACACACCGGCCACTTTATTAGGTACAACTTTCTAGTAGGTCTAGTAACTTTCTAGGTTGGACCCCTTTTGCCTTTAGAACTGCCCTAATCCTTCATGGCATAGACTTAACAAGATACTGAAAATATTTCCTTAGAGATTTTGGTCCATATTGACATTATAGCATAATACTGTCCAAATGTCACAGCAGAAATGGATACCCATCAAACCAGGCAATGTTTTTCCAATTTTCTATTGTTCAATTTTAGTGAGCCTGTGCGAATTGCAGCCTCTTATTCTTAGCTGACAGGAGGGGCACCGGTGTGGTCTTCTGCTGCTGTAGCCCATCCGCCTCAACGTTGGACGTGTTGTGCGTTCAGAGATGCTCTCGATTGCAACGAGTTACTGTTGCTCTTCTATTAGCTTAAACCAGTCTGGCCATTCTCCTCTGACCTCTGGCTTTAACAAGGCATTTGCGCCCACAAAACAGCAGCTCACTGGATATTCTTTTTTGGACCATTCTCTTTAAAGCCTAGAGATGGTTGTGCATGAAAATCCCTGAAGATCAGCAGTTTCTGAAATACTCAGGCCAGCCCATCTGGCACACGTTCAAAGTCACTTGAATTGTCTTCCTTTCCAATTCTGATGCTCAGTTTGAATTGCAGACCGCCTTGATCATGTATACCTGTCTAAACTCATTGAGTTGCTGCCATTTGATTGGCTGATTATAAATTTGCGTTAACGAGCAGTTGGACAGGTGTACCTAATAAAGTGGCCGGTGAGTGAATATAAAGGCAAGTTTGTTTGTTTGTTTGTTTTTTTAAATAAAATTTGAAACTATTTAACTTTTTTGTTAAATAAGTAGCAGATTCACTTCAATTCAATCCTTCATCTGGTTTTACGTGTATGAAAATCCCAGTGACAGGTATATTTAAGGATGGGGCTTGATGCATTTTCCTCCATTAAATCATACATTTTAGTTGATTTAAATCAATTGAATGTTGTTAAATTGTTACATTCTTCCATTGTATTTTGAGAACAATGCAATCCAGAAAACACAAGGCAACACAGCCAGAAGACCGCTGGCACAAGTCCCGGCTGAGTCAGTTTGCATGTTATACCCCTGTTCGCATGGGTTTCCTCCGAGTGCTCCAGTATACGCCACAGTCCAAAGACATGCGCTATAGGTGAATTAAATAAACTAAATTGGCTGTAGTGTGTGTTTGTGTGTGTGTTTGTGTGTGTGTGTGTGTGTGTGTGTGTGTGTGTGTGTGTGTATGAGCGTTTCCCAGTACTGTGTTACAGCTGGAAGGGCATCCGCTGTGTAAACATATGCTGGATAGGTTGGCGGTTCATTCCGCTGTGGCAACCCATGATGAATAAGGGAAATAAGCCAAAAAAAATGAATGAATGAATATTATGCATTCGAATTGGCATCAATAGCAGTCTTAGCATGTTTAAACGCTAAAGTGTAATTTAGGGTTAACATTTAAATACCCCCTTTTTACAAAGAAAAACAACTGAACGACAAAACCTTTAAGGAAAAATCAACAAAAAGGAAAATGAAGTGAAAATGAATGTGTGATGAGCCATTTTAGATTGCAACAGAGAACAGATTTTGTGCTTAAAATGGGAAATGTGGAGAATTTCTTTGGGTTTGAAAGCTGATCTACATTGAGGACATGAATGCAATGGTCAAACGTCCAACAGTGGGAATGTAAAAAATGTGAATGCTTTACATGAAGCTGTCTCACACATTTGTATAAAAAGCGTTGGCGAGCACCAGCATGTGCAAAATATGTGCAAAAAGTCATCACTGCAGAGGTCAGAGTGCCAAACTGAAACCACAAAGTACTAAAAACGGCTTCCTTTCCTGTCAACAAGCGGGTTCTGCCTGTGGCCAACAGGAACTCTCAAACAACGGAACAAACATGAACGCAGAGCTACTGAAACCTCAGTTTTAACAATAATAATTTAAAAAAATAAATAAATAAAAAAAAACAGGTGGGTAATTCATTTCAAGAGCTGACATGGAAAAAAACGCCAACATCAAACAGAACTAAAAATATCCATTGCATATAGGTTGTTAAACACTCACTCTTTCACGTTGTTGTTGACGAAAGTTGTGTCCAATTAAGAATTCATGTTTCAGAAAAATTTGACTTCAAGTCATCCTCAAATCATTAACAATCTAAGGAAAAATTTACATGTTATCAAATTTAAAATGGTCCCTTTTTAACTTAAGTTAAATATTTGTATTGTGCTGTGTCTAAAGTGTGATTTGCTCAATGTAAATGTAGGCTAATATGCAACGTAGCACAGTTTACAAGACGTTTCATTGATATTGTTCGGCGGTTGAACAGTAGATTATCTGCGATTATCTGAGACGCGATACTTTTCATACTGTTTTTCTTTATAGTTCACTCAAAAATGATATATTTACTCTATTTATTCATTGAGGTAATGTTGGTTTTATATTCACATTCAGACTGTCCCATTAAAATAATTTCAGAAAAATGTCCTTTGCTAATTCTAAATAGTGAAATCATATTAGCAGTCAAAGTACAACATTGTTCAGTCCAGGAGCAGACAGGGACTAAAAATCAGCCCTGGCATTGTAGCCACACCAGCCCACATTACCACACCGACACAGCCCCACCCAAAGACACGCACATTCACAACCTATATTGGTGTACAGATGGTAAAATTATGTAAGCAGTACCTATTTAAGATATATTTAAACATTTAATGTATGTGACTGAAAGAAAAACAACACATTTATATATGCAATTATGTCATTCATTTTCTTTTCGGCTTAGTCCCTTTATTAATCTGGGAATCGCCAACTTATTCAGCTTATGTTTTACACAGTGGATGCCCTTAAAGCTGCAACCCATTACTGGGTTACCCAATTCCCAATTGGCCTACCCAATTCACCTATAGCATGTGTTTGGCCTTGTGAAGGAAACCAGAAGGAAACCCACCCGAACATGCAAACTCTACACAGAAACACCAACTGACCTAGATGAGGCTCAAACTAGCGACTTTCATGCTGTGAGGTGACAGCACTACCTACTGCGCCACTGCACTACCCCCTTTTGAGACTAGTTCAGTAAATTTTATGCATTTGGCAATGTCTGACTTGACTGCCTATCCCTTTTTATGGTCCATCTCTGACAATTAGCTTGTGTTGCACTTACTGTTTGTTTGACATTCTTGCCAGATTTACATTACGTCTGCGTAACCTCAGATTGGGTCGGCTCATCTCGAAACCAGCCGGTTGTTGCTGATTGAGCCAATGCTTAACATTTACTATTATTCTTACTATTATCACCATCATCATCATCCTCATCATAATATTCAGATCTCGCAAGAGATAAAAGCTGCCTGCATTTAAAAAACAATACATATGAAAAAAATAAAAATAAAAAAATATCCACCCCTGGTTCAGTCATCTAAATAGTGCTGTTTGTTTTGAAGTCATACTTGAGGCTCGTAGCCAGCCTGGTGAAAGGGCTAGTTCTTTTTTTCTCAAAAAAGTGGACCTTTTTGCAGTTATATGCCTCATTTTCTATTTAATTAAGAGATTTAAATACTGAATTTTAAGCACTAGGGCCTATATTTTTAGCTGAATTGGCTGAATTGGAATAGGTCATGTCCCAGAGGCTGGAAGTGACCAAAACCTCTCTAGAACCAGCTAAAACCACTCAAACAGCCTAGGTCAATTTAAGCTGTTTTTTTTTCAGTAGAGATGCTTGTTTGTTAATTTATTTTTTACTTTTATGACATTAAATAATAGTTCCTAGCAAAATTATAACTTGAGATACAAGAATTAAAACAATGCTGGTTTGTTTCAGCTAAAATTGAAGTACCAGCAATAGTTTTAGTGACTTAAATTAGCAGACACACAATGTCATAGGACATTTATATTAGGTTAGATTCAGGTCACCAGCTTCTAAGGACAATGTTATTTTGAAGTCCAATGATTACGTGAAATGACGTTGACGTTTTGTTGATTTCATGTTCTTGTTGAAAGGGACCAAAATCCAACATTGAGCCAAAATATTAAACCAACGTCATATTGACATTTTTTCATCAGGTATGGCAACCAAAAGCCAACATCTGGTAGACATCATAGTGGTAACGTCCACACAACGTCAAACTGTAACATCATTAGACGTTGACATTTAGCTTTAGGTTGCGTTGCAAAGTAACCAAACTACAATGTCTGTCCAATGTTGGATACTGATGTCAACCCGATTTTCATTTCCAAACAAAATGCAATGTGCCATGAAGGGGTACAACCTCAAACTGACATCATGTTGACGTCCTGTGCCTGCTAAGGAAGTCCTGAACCAATACCAGTTATAACGCCAAGGTACTACCTGCTTGAAACAGATGCGAAACACAAAAGTGACTGTCAATGAAAAATGTTTTAATTGCTACCTAAAAGTTATTGTAAGAGTTGACAAGAGCAGAGTTTCAATAAATTATCAAATATGGCTTTAATTTACTGCGGGTGAGCATGCATGAATTGAGACATTGAAAGATAAGGCACATGACCTCCACAGAGAGGCTTTCAAACTGGCAGCATATTTATGTAAAACCACCCTGACAAAGAGTACATCTAGAGGCATTTCACTTGGAGATGGGAGAGTGCAAGCATTTAGAGAGGTGAAAAAGAACAGTGACTAATGTTCTTGTCAAATCATTTGATAAAAGTTCTCCAAATCGTAATAAAAAAAAATCCATCACGTCATTAAAATTAAAAAAAAAAAAAAAAAAGGAAAAAAGAAAAAGTCAAATTTAAATTTCATCAAGTCTTGAATTTGCTGCCAGTTCACACAAATACGAGTAAACTACAAAGTTATGGAGACAAATATGGAAATATACTTTGGTAAATCATCAAATATCAAACGTTTAAGACAAATATATGTACATAAAAACCGATACATGAGCAAACATTGTTAAAAACAACTATAAAAATGAGCCTATGACTTCATGTGCAAACGCAGTAGTTCAACAAAGCACTCATAACACAATAATCCATCAGGTTGCTAGTGTGAATGGTCAAAACCAGACACTAAACAATAAAGTGTCTCAAGGCACGTATGGAAAGAACCAAATGAACAGATGCAGTGTTACAAAAAAAAAAAAAAAGAATAATAAGCATGGCTGATTTGATCCATAGCTTGGCTTGGAGCTTTTCTATAAACTTTAGTGAGCACCTGGAGCAAGTTAGCTGGTGAGATGACCCACCAAACCAGGGTGCAAGCCGTTTTTGAAGACATCTGGTCGGTGGAGGGATGGCATGTATAAGGCAGGGGCTCCTCCAGGATGGGCTGGTCCAGGATAGCCTTGACCTGGGAGCACAGTGCCACCCATGTGGGGTGGAGGTGGTGGACTCTGCTCGTAATACTGTGCTTCAACACACTCGTCATCAAAGGGCAAAGCTAGACGCTTTCCCTTCTGTCTACGGTTGCAGAACCATACACGCACTACCTAGAGAAAAGCACATTGTTAAAGTCAAACAGCTTCTAGAAGGTGAAAAATGCTTCACAGACTTTGAGGCGTGCTTACATCTCTCTCCAGGCCTAGATCATCGGATATGTGCGTTATCTCCAGAGTGTTGGGTTTGGGGCACTTCACGAAGTACGACTCTAGAGCAGAACGGACTGTGCCTTCCAAGCTGGTCCTTCGTTTTCTTTTTCGCGTGTCGACAAACACCCGTTCAATTTTGTACATCTGAAAGATAAATTGAAATAACATTAAGCTCAAAATTAAGCTTGTTTGACATAAATCTTTTGATAAAACCAAAGGTTAAGAGTAACAAATAAATTTTTTGCAAGTACATGGAATCATTTATGTTGTTGGCCAATCAATGCAATAAGTGGTCATTTGTTTTAGATTATAGCCTGTACAACAAATATACTTGATATGCTAGTGTGAAGATTTGTTTTCTCGTGTGAGAAAATGTAGACCACTCAACATTGTCATACACTTAAGAGTATTATACCAAAACATTTTTTCACAGTTTGTGTTTGATGTGCATAAGGGTTTCATTATGAGACATTCAACCTCCACACTAAAAATTGAATGGTGACTTTAAATGTATTTTACAACTGCTAAATGTCAAGAGTTCAGATGCAAAAACCTCTAAATGGCATCTAAAATTCTTAAATCAAAATTTCTCAGGTAGGTTCAGTAACTTTACTAATAAGGCAACGAATAGGTTCTTTTCGTTGCATTTTAAATGAACCCTGTTAAAAAAAAAAAAGAAAAAAGAAAAGAAAAAAAAAAACTGCTTAAACCAGCCTAAGATGGTTGGCTGGTTTTCTCTGTTCGACCAGCCTGGCTTCAGAGTTTTGGCCATTTCCATACAGTCAGACTGGAAAATGACCAGCTATAACCAGCCTAACCAACCTAGTTTAAGCTGGATTCCCAGCCTGTCTAATCTGGTCAAACTGGTTTTAGCTGGTCATTTCCCAGCCTGACCAGATAAGACCAGGGTGGAATTGGCTAAAACCAGTCTGGAAAGGGTCAAAACTTCTCAAAAACCACGCTGGTTGACCAGCTAAAACCAGCTAACCATCTCAGGCATGTAGCCAGCCTGGTGAAAATGTGTTTTTTTTTTCTTCATTTTTTTTAGTAAAATTTGGACCTTTTAGCAGTTATTCGCCTCATTTTCTATTTAATTAAGAGGTTTAAAAATTAATATTTAAAAATTAAATATTAATAAAATCACTTTTTTAAAATGCAAATTACATTTATCAATAGAAAAAAGGAATCTGTTAAAGTTTTAAGTTAAACACTGTAGCCGAGTTACTTATTAGGCAAATAAACTGGCCAGCACATTCCATCTCCTCAGGCAGAATTTGGCCATTTGAATAATAAAAATGACATTAAAAATAAAAGCACTTTGATTTTTCCAGCCATTGTAAAACAAATAAATTCAAGGATAACAATAGGCAAATAAGTATTCAAAAGTGGCCCATATTAAAACTGATTTGGTGCTTCACACCTTTTTATTGGCCAATTTTTGTTTCAAGTACAAGATCCAAGATTTAGAATAAAAGTTGTTTGTAAAAGGTTTTCCCCATTTAAAAACATTAAGTAGTGAAAGATGACCCCACTTACATCAGATTGTATGTTTTCTTGCTCAACTGGATGTTGGACTGATGAAAAATAAGTTTGCATTGGCCAAAACTGATTAGCTAAAGTTGCACTGATGTGACGGTCAACAGAGGATTCGGCTTGGTCTTAAAGCATTTTTTATTTTCTCTGTTTATGATGGTGTGGCAGTAAAAATAGGACAAATGAGCTCATGTAAAGCTCATGTAGATTCTGGACCTTTGTCATTGAGAGGTGGGTCTTTAGAACCACCTGAACCCCCCTCTGCACACGGACCTGCATCTTGGGCTGGTTTAAGCCAGATATTTTTCCATCAGGAAATAGATGAACAAAGGAGGTTAAAAAAAATGTTAATTTACAGAGAAAAAAAAATTAGGTGGCATTTAGAGGCTTTTTAGTCTGAACTTCATATATAACCTGGTGTTGTGTAATTTACTGATCAAAAAAACATTCCTACATTATTTTGTATGACACAGTATACAGTGTTATTCAAATTGGAATTTAGCTCATTGTTAAACTGGTTAAATGAACAGGAATAAACACCCCACGATGAATTTAATGCTATAGCCTACTGCATCAGGTACCAAATACAGTTTGTAAAACACTCATAACAACACTAAAAACACAGTAGCTATGTGAAACACGCACACAATACAAACGCACTCAGGATGCACAGGAAACTGCTAGCACATAACGCACAAGTTCATTGACAGGCCGTCGGCAGTTAGCGCCCCCTGTTGTTATAAAGTGTACTCACATCCTGAGGGTTCTCGGAGTTTTCGGCCTCGTTCAACCACCTCTGCAACAACGGCTTCAGTTTGCACATGTTCTTGAAACTAAGTTGGAGAGCCTCAAAGCGGCAGATTGTCGTCTGACTGAACATTTTGCCTGAAACAGAAAACACAACCTGTTTAAAGTTTAAACAACTTCATATACAATTACTGAAACCGTTTGAGACCATGAACTCACCATACAAGTTTCCAAGCGCGAGTCCCACATCTGCCTGCGTGAAGCCCAGAGTGATGCGCTTGTGTTTAAGCTCTTTCGCAAACTGCTCCAAATCTTCAGTAGTCAGAGTCTCCTTAAAAGAAGACGTTAATTGCAAAACTATCAAGTTGCGTTCACGCTAAAGCAATAGTATAAAACTAAAAGCAAAACCTCACCTCTTCCTCAGAATCACTGCATCCTCCACTGGAGGACCCACTGCTCCGGGGTGCACTTTGCGCTTGAGCTGAGGGAATGTTTTGCGCGGTGCCTCCGCTAAAAAATCCTGGGCTTCCGAACCCATTTCCAGGGGGAGACGGAGACAGAGATGGGGATGAAGCGGAGGGAGTTGGGGGAGCTTGGGAAATATTAGCTTGGGCCGTAATTTGGGACAGTCCAGGCCAGAAATTAGGGTTCCATGGCGTGTAGTAGTTCACCCCGGTGGGGACGGAAGATGTTCCAGCGGTGAGGTGATATTGTGACGGCGGCTTGTTTTCTTCATTCCCGTATTCTTCAACATCTTTCTCGGTTTTGACCTCAGATGGCATCTTAATTTGCTCTCTAGTCTCGCCGATAGGAGGGCTGATGTTCGCCGGCTGAGTGGCGGCCGTCGCTCCTGCAACCTGCCCAGTGAACTCGGGGGCCGCAAACGGGTACCAGTGTTTGGGCTGCGTAAAGTCGCCACCTTGCAAATCGTTCGTTTTAAAATCGCCTGAAAATGGAAAGAAGGTCTGGGCTGTCGCGGGGGTGATTCCGTTGAAATGGGCCTTGTTAAAAATCAGACTTGGATCCTGAAGCATACCGTGCGCAAACTGCAAGGACGCTCCGCCAAGTCCATCCAGGCCCGCGGCTTGAGGATACATGGCCCTGTTGACCTCATAGGGTCTGCAGTCTGCTGCTGTTGGGCTCTGCGCTCTCTCCGTCATCTTTCCGCTAAAAAGGTTGTTGAGATTTCAAACAAGAAAGCGTAAAGACTGCTGGTTTGATAATCAATAAACGTCGATCAGTTGCTCCATCCCAGGATGATCCAAACAGACTAAACTCAGATTGCGCGTCTCAGTATCAGCCTGTGTGGAAATGTGCGCAGTCCTTGTGTGGCGGCCATCAATCAGAATGGGCCAATAATTCACCACCTCCAACTCTTCCCAATCTCAGCTCTGATCCTGGCCCACACAGGTTTTGCTAATCAATCGGAGTTGGAGGCAGGGGTCTGAACCAACTTCTCTCCCATTGGCCACCCGAGACAATAAGCTACAGCTGACTGTGAATTTGTGAATGAACTTGGTTTTCTCATTGGGCGAGGACATGTTTGGGAACGCGAGGTGTATCTGTATAGATTTGCATCTTATAAAAGTCCAAATAAAAATAGATTAACCTCACTAACCTCTTTAAAAACGAATATAAAAATGCATAACAATCACCGTCATTTTGTCATTCCTGCCCTCTTATGCATATTTCGAGTATTTACAATGCAAATTCATGTATTTTATATTCATGCCACATTATGTAAACTTTGTTTCAGTAATATGTACTTAATGAGCTGTCCTTGATATTAAAATTCTTGACATCCGTGGGAAAACACTTATGCAATATGCGCAACGGGAAAACTCACTTTTCCACATTTAGATTTTATTAAATGAAGCCTATAAGCTATTAAACAAAGTGGATCAGGAAAAAAGTACAGTAGATCTAAATGCTTTCACTTGCATTTTTGCTGTTCTTTTTGACCAGGAGTGACAAATAAAAGGTGAAATGTTTGTCTGTTGCTGATAAGCAATTGGATTACAAGCGTCACATCTCCCACCTTCACGCTGCTTGTTGAATCGCTGATAGGAGCCGTTTATACACGCAAGAGTGTTTGGAAAATAAAGAGAACAATGCTGTGATGTGGAAAACTTAAGTTCTAATGTAAATTTATCAGTGAGAAAGAAAATACTGAAAAATAAATCAAACCATTTTACATGCCAAAATAAAATTGCTTGCAAATTGGTGAATTTGGCTGCAAATCCCAGAAGACAGCATGCAATACAAAATGAAAATACATATAAAACATCCTTAAAAACTATATATAAAAGGTTGAATCAATATATATACAGCATTCTGTTTAACACAAAACAGAAAATTCCTTTATATGTATACAGCATAATGGGATCCAATTTTATGGATTCTTTAAAGTGCACCATTATTCAACGATGATTACGTGGATTTTTTTTAAGTTAAGTGGTTGTAAACAATTATTTTGGGTTGAATTTAAACAAACAAATTAAGTTGAACAATATAAAATTTATTCATTTGTTTAAATTCAACACATAAAGTGCAACAATTTTGCAGACTTATTTTTTCAGTGTACATTCAATTATAAATTAATAGATTTAATAAAATGTAATCAAATTTCATGATGTAATGTTCAGTGTTTGTTTGTTTTTTTTTAATCATAGGACACAACAAAGCCAATTGCACAAACATGTAAAATAAATGAATGATGTATTTTCTGATTTAGAAAATGTGTAAAGTTTACAAAAACTTTATCTATTCGTTCTATTAAAACCACAATTAATCTGATTTTTATTTATTTTTTCATTTAGGCTATTATAAAGAAGAAATAATGTAGTGGACGAGCTAAATAAGAATTTAGCAGGAGATGCTAATAGGCCTATCATAGGTTGTAATAGCTACACAAGACAATCAATAAAACAAGATAAATAAATTATCTTTATTACCTTATTTTCAGTTTTTTTTTGAATATGCATAAGCATACATTTTATAGAGATCTAATTTTTCAAAATTGTTGCAAACAATTTATACGTGTTGAATTTGCTCAGATTTAGTTAAAATTAAAATAAATATAGTAATGTTAAACTTAATGTGTTTGTTTAAATTCAGCCCAAATAAATTTTTACCAGCACTTAACTTAAAATAATTTGGTAAATCCAAGATATCATCTTTGAAGATTTTTTCAGTGGATCATCCAAATCATCTGTTTAAAATGCTGATTTTCACACAATCGGTTTGTGTTGGTCAAACATGAAGGAATTAATTAGTTTTCACAAATTTAATCGGATTGAAGAAAAATTAATTAAGTTGTCCCCTAAAAACCCTAAAGAAACGTGTTGTTTCAGCTCATTTTAAAGTAGTAGTTTGAACAATCAGCGAACATTGAGTTTGAGATGTTTGGATTATGCCTATAATTAGGCTAAAATAGTCATTATTTACCTACATTTAAGTTGAAACCACTGTTTTACAGTGTACATTTTAAATAAAGGCTATTTGCATAGGCCATAGCCAGTCGGGACCAGTTAGCGTGCTTGCTCCTTTTTTTCTTTCAATGCGCCTTGTTTACAGTTGTAGGAGCTCCACGAGACGCATCGATACAGCTGTGCACCCCCGACCGGGCCGATCGGTGCAGATTGCAGCAGGAAGACGCGCCGCAGGAAAGTGGAGGGGGAGGCTTTGTGCCAGAAGAGCCCGAGGCCCCCCGTCGCTTCCAGATCCAGAGTAGCGATGGCCGGCCATTAGCTGCCTTTCAGAACCGAACAATAAGCCGCAAGCCTTTGATTCCGCCCCTGTCCCCCTCCTCCTCCTACTCTGAAACAAACACTGCTTGTAAGTTTCACCGACCAGGCCAAAGTCTGTTCTAGAAATAACCAGACATGCATTTGAGTGAGGGCAGTCAATGCGTGAAATGATCTTAACACACTATTTTAGTTCTTCGATAGAATCACATATGGCAAGCCGCTTTAGCATTCACTGTATAAACCGTACATGTTTTTCATAAAGAATTACAGTAAAAAAAAAAGAAGTCTTTTGCTGCTTGTTCAAACTACTTATTTTAAATGAGTTGAAAAACAATTCTTAAGTTTTTTTTTTTTTTTTGTGTGGGACAACCTAGTTGTTTTATGTAGGGAAGAGCAGGGCACAAAGTAACACTTTTTGGTTTTGGCCAAATAATGAAAAAAGTAATGGGGTTAGACAAACAATTTTTTTTTACTAGCAACACACAAGCCTCTCCTACAAATGAGCACTGGTTGTCTGATCGCTGGACCTATGGTTTCTGTGCAGTATTGGCAAAAGTGCCAGAGGTAAAAATGTTACTATTTACCTCACCTGCGGGGCAAGTTGTAACAGACAGAGAGTTGTAACACATGCTTAAAAAGGCAGATTTCACACAATTAATTTAAATTCAGTTCACTTTAAATAGTTTTTACTCAGTAGCTAATTTCTTTTTATTCTACACAGCACAGCGTGTTTATTTATGTATTTTTCTATTGGATAAACATATTTGGATTTATTTGCATTATTATCCATTATCATACAATGCATTTATTTGCATTATTAGCAATACAATGTATTTTGTTCTATTAAAAATATTTGCAATTAAAAATATATATTTAAAAAGTTTACATTACACTCAAAATGTAAAAAAATATATATTGTGTTGGTTTGATTGGTGTCCAACAGTATTGTAACACTCAACTAACCCCGCTGTGTCATGTTTTCCTCAAAACTGACTAGCAGTCACTGTGATTTTACATCTTTCAAAGTGGCTTCATCTTTTAGCCTAGAAAATAGTAATCACAACAATATTAGATTTATACGTTCACAGATTTAAAAAAATAAATAAAAAATATAGACTAATAAAAATACTTTTATTCTGCAAAACTATTTGTTCTGTGTTTCTCATCCAAATTTCGCCAAATATTTAAAAAAATTGGAAGGAAGACGTGTGCCGATACTGTGGTGAAAACTTTAGAAGCATGCCATGGTTAACCCTAAGCAAATACCTTAAAACTCTGTTACATTTTACCCAGCGTTACTTTGTGCCCGCGCTCCCCTACAATCCACTTAAAATCGTAATAACAATTAAGTTAGCTTAATTTGTGTTGAACCCAAAATATTTTATTAGCAATAGTAACTTTAAAGTAGATGCCATAATCATTCAATGAGCTAGGCCAATAGCATAGATACTTACTAAACAGTAGGCCTACTTATTCATTAGTTATGTAGCCTACACGTATATTTGCTATTTTTTTTTCTCACAGATACATGAAATACTAGATACTAGTAGACAACATTTTTCATTAGATATTAGCACTTATTTTAACAGTGATTATACACTTTCGGAAAAAAAGTATGAGAGCTGCACAGGGGTGGTACCTTTTTAAAAGATACATATTTGTACTTAAAGGGTCCATATTGGTACCTCAAAAGCAAATATTTGTATCTACAAATTTTAAAAGGTACACTTTTGTACTTTTTAGGTACTAATACGTACCCTTGAGGTATCTATGTGAATGTTATTAATTACAACAATAAAAATAAGTATCTGTTTAATAGATATTATTTTATGAATATGTACTAGTACTTTATGATTGAGTAGCCTACTAGTGTCTATTTAATAGTTATCTAATGAATGAATACTAATATTTAATGAAGAAGAAATAGCATGTAATGAATTAGTCGTGCCTAAAGAATATGTACGGGATGGTAATACATCTAAATGTAGTATTAAAATAGACACAATAGTTAATACAGATTACATGTTTATTCAACTTGCGATACACACAGGGATTGTAAAAAATGACAACTTATGTTTTTACGCCACTTTAGCTTAATTAGAAAATTAAGTTAAAGTAACAAAGTACCTTTACTTTAACTTAATTAGAAAGTTAATTAGGTTTCAGCTTATTATTTTTAAGTTAAACAAAGTTCAACCTGATGTTTTACTTCAGCTTATTTTATTCAAGTTAAAATACCTTGTAAAATTGAATGGGTTCAACTTACAAATTTGGGCAATGTTTTTTTTTTTTTAGTTTAGACTTGATTATATTCTTTCAGGGTTTCTGCAGATTGCATCAAGTCAAATTTAAGACTTTTTAAGACTCTTTTAACATCGTTATGAATGACATTTTTAACGTATACAGAGCTAAACACTATTAATTTTTCTTATGACCTGATCGGTTGCCAAACACATGAAAAAATTTAGTTCTAATTCACTAATTCTTAGTGACGTATTTTAATATGTCAAAACAAGAAACATCTAGTTGTGTCGACTTTTTCAACATAACATTTAATTATTTTGTTTTTTTAACATTGTAAAAACAAAATTACAGAGACAATGACAAAATCAAAAATATACATTTGTTGGCTTTTGGTCCAAATTGAATAAGTATAATGTATCATGTAAAGTGATATGTTGCTCTGTCATTATCATGAAGACTTAAGTTTTTTTTCCCTATGGGGAATTTAATTTGGAGAAATTACTGTAAAAATGCCAAATGGCAATTGTAAAATGTATCTGTTTGCAATAAAATACTCAAATATATTTCTTTTATTAATATAAAGGGCAGCTTTACTTAGACAGAGGAAAATTAAGACCTGCTTAAAATGATGTGAGACCTACAACATAACATTCCAGTGATATTTTAAGACCCCACAGACATTTTAGTGTACATCCTGCATGTTAACATTTTCAAAACACCCAATTCTGTGTGTTTTATGGGGTTTGTGATTTCTGCTATATTAATAATTGACTGGTATTGCTATACTTATGGAGACTTTTTGTAC